CGACATGACGGAAGGGTTAGACTCAGAAGTGTCCCTGTTTGCAGATGATGTGAAGTTAATGAGGAGAATTAAATCTGATGAGGACCAGGCAGGACTTCAAAGAGACCTGGACAGACTGGACACCTGGTCCAGCAAATGGCTTCTCGAATTTAATCCTGCCAAATGCAAAGTCATGAAGATAGGGGAAGGGCACAGAAGACCACAGACAGAGTATAGGCTAGGTGGCCAAGACTGCAAACCTCACTCAAGGAGAAAGATCTTGGGGTGAGTATAACACCGAGCATGTCTCCGGAAGCACACATCAATCAGATAACTGCTGCAGCATATGGGCGCCTGGCAAACCTGAGAACAGCATTCCGACACCTTAGTAAGGAATCATTCAAGACACTGTACACCGTGTATGTCAGGCCCATACTGGAGTATGCAGCACCTGTTTGGAACCCGCACTTGATAAAGCACGTCAAGAAACTAGAGAAAGTACAAAGGTTTGCAACAAGTTAGTTCCAGAGCTAAGGGGAATGTCCTATGAAGAAAGATTAAGGGAAATCGGCCTGACGACACTGGAGGACAGGAGGGTCAGGGAGACATGATAACGACATATAAAATACTGCGTGGAATAGACAAGGTGGACAAGGACAGGATGTTCCAGGGAGGGGACACAGAAACAAGAGGCCACAATTGGAAGTTGAAGACACAAATGAGTCACAGAGATAGTAGGAAGTATTTCTTCAGTCATAGAGTTGTAAGGCAGTGGAATAGCCTAGAAAATGACGTAGTGGAGGCAGGAACCATACACAGTTTTAAGACGAGGTTTGATAAAGCTCATGGAGCGGGGAGAGAGAGGGTCTAGTAGCAACCGGTGAAGAGGCGGGGCCAGGAGCTAGGACTCGACCCCTGCAACCACAAATAGGTGAGTACAAATAGGTGAGTACACACACACACACACACACACACACACACACACACACACACACACACACACACACACACACACACACACACACACATATACACACACATACACACACATACACACACACACACACACACACACACACACACACACACACACACACACACACACACACACACACACACACACATACACACACACACACACACACACACACACACACACACACACACACACACACACACACACACACACACACACACACACATATATATATATATATATATATATATATATATATATGTATACATATATATAATGAGAGTCGTAGTATCACAAATTTTTGTGTTTACAAAAAAGTAAAATGCTTCGATATTTTTTTAGTGGAGAACCAGATAAATTACGTTTAATTTGCATGCAAATTGCTGTGTAATTGTTTATAAGATATAAATGGTCATCCGTTTAGGGAAACGTAAATTTTCTTTTTCTCTTTCTGACCTAAATCATCTCTTTTCCTCATTCTCTCTCTGTATAATCCTACGGATTTAGCGCTTCCCCTTGATTATAATAATCATAATTTTCCTCATTCTCTCTCTGTCTCTGTATCTCACTCTCTCTCTCTCTTCTGTCTGTCTGTCTCTCTCTCTCTCTAGTTAATGGTTCTTGAATTTATTTAAACATCTTAAGAGCTGTTACGTACCTGGGCTCATTTTAATATTTTTATGATAGGTAATGAAAAGGTTTGTAATTACCGCTACCCAGCATTGGTAAGCCAGCGGTTGCTTACTAACTGCCTTTGTCGATTAATATATGTGCAGCACCTGAGTATCTTGATTTGAGAGACGTTTCCCCTGCACAGCAGGCTTTTTTTCTGTCTAATACACAGCGATGAGATGCAGGAGTTTAAGATATCTCCATAGGTGGGCGGGGCTTACTGGTGGACGTAGGTCTGGGCCAGATGTTACCTGTGGAGATGTGATAGATATCATAGCCTCTGTGCCAAGGTTCCAGAGGCTTGGCGACGAACTCTGTCATCTTGGAGTCACCCTTTGGGCCCGATCTACTGCCACTAGTACTGGGTCCCACCCACCTTTGACGATTCTTTCAGCTGCTGCGTTTGTGCGTGTGTCCAAACGTATGTATGTATACTTATTTTTGTATTTATAATTACCATTGTGTTTGTCTGCCTGTCTCTGTACGCGTGTGTCTTTGTCTGCATATGTCTGTGTGTGTGTGTGTGTGTGTGTGTGTGTGTGTGTGTGTGTGTGTATGTGTATGTGTGTGTGTGTGTGTGTGTGTGTGTGTGTGTGTGTGTGTGTGTGTGTGTGTGTGTGTGTGTGTGTCTTTCACTCTCCATCATCTCTATTCAAGTGGTCACGAATAACGTACCTATACTTCCACATTCAGCCTGTCAAAGTTATAAATTCACCTGCCCCTCCCACATTTACCGTGTAGAGATTATTTTAGCGGTTCCTGTGTTGCTCCAGTAGAGGGGATGGTAGGACCTAACCTATGCAAAAACTTGTTTATCCTCCTTTCTCTCTCTCTCTCTCTCTCTCTCTCTCTCTCTCTCTCTCTCTCTCTCTCTCTCTCTCTCTCTCTCTCTCTCTCTCTCTCTCGCTCGCGTGATCTCACCTGGCTCGCCCTGCCAATACAGTGAGGACTCCTAAGAGGTTTGTTAATACGTTCGCTTATCTGGAGACAGACATGCTACCTACCTGTACTCACCTGGGCATCGATCCGCGACTTCTCTTACGAGAGCTGCTGGTGTAACCACCTAGCTACGTCGAGTGATCAGAACGTTGTTGTTATTGCTTACTCTGCCTCATGCATGACACAAGACTAACAGAACTACCGGGACATGTTGCTGTATGCTTCAGTAAGACTACGTCCAACTACGAATGATATCGTGTCTCATTACTTGCAAATGATGTTCATGCAGTGTTTAAACTCTAGGACTTCTGGTGTATTCACTGTACAGACATAAATAAACTCCCTGATTGATTAAGTGCTCATTAATGGCACTATTATGCCTTGATGTTGGTGAAGAGCCTTGCTCATGCTAGCAGTTTAATATTGCTTCGTATTAGTTCATGTGTTGCGAAGAGATATATATGAGGTCAAGGCTTACATCAACCTGTACAAATGAGAAAGAGTTAACATTTTTTCCTGCTGCCATCTTTGCCTCAAGTCACTCTGGATTGCTGCAGTTACTTCAACAAAACAAAGCGCGT